GTATCAATTTCCCGTTTGTAATCTAAAATGACTGAAAATTGCAAACTTCGCAAGGCTATATTATCCGCATTTTACAACATTTCGTAACGAAACTTTGGAATATTACTAATTTTGTGATGCTCTTTCAAGTTGTGATGAAATTTTTGTCTAGATCAAAATTTTAGTTATAAGGTTAAAGGTCCATTAAGCCTGGATCCAAGAACTCGTGCATGAGAGTTGACAGTCACGTGACCTTGGTTAGCTGTTCTTAATGCTTTCCCAACACTATCATGTATTCTATTGAAGTTAAAACATAGTTGAAACACTCATCCAACCTTTATTTTGTTAATCTAGAGCTTGAAATATCCCCTGTAACAATGCATGCATGCCAACTCTCATCAACTCTCAATTGACCATTTGCGTAATAGACTAAATTTTGATCTCAACAAAAATTTCATCACAACTTGAAGGAGCATCACAAAATTAGTAATATTCCAAAGTTTCGTTGCAAAATGTTGTAAAATGCGGAAAATATAGCCTTGCGAAATTTGCAATTTTCAGTCATTCTAGATTACAAACCGGAAATTGACAGCCTCGAAGGGTTTGGGGCTGTCAATTTCCCGTTTGTAATCTATTAAAATGACTGAAAATTGCAAATTTCGCAAGGCTATATTTTCCGCATTTTACAACATTTTGCAACGAAACTTTGGAATATTACTAATTTTGTGATGCTCCTTCAAGCTGTGATGAAATTTTTGTCCAGATTTGTTTAGTTCAAAATTTAGTCTATTACGCAAATGGTCAATAGGTTAACACAATGCTATGAACATAACGTTGGGCTCTTGGGATGCTGGATTGAGATACTCAAGGTTGTAATACTCACCATAAGCTTGCTTTCTGATATGGTGACACATTGTTCTGGGTACTTTACCATGGAACGCCACTGGTATATACATGACGTCAGGAGTGCTAGGAGGGTATCGTGGTAAGGGTGGTCCTGGAACACCAGGTATCCCAGGTACCCCCGGTAGACCCTGATTACCCTTCAGTCCCCATGGTCCAGGACCGCCAATCCTACCCGGCCGGCCTACTCTACCAGGATCTCCAGTTTCACCTGAAATTTGCAATGAAACTACTGTTAAAGTTGAGGTTCGTTGTTCATAAGTTGGAAAAGCTTTTGGGCATGTACACTTGATATAAGTAATGGATGATTCCGAGCTCTGCTACAGACTAAATTTTGATCTAGGTAAGAAGAACGAAATCCAACACCACAGCAAGAAAGAGCATCTTGGAATGAATAAAACTGCAAAGTTGGGTTGCGAAATGTTGTAAAATGAAGAAAATATAGCCCCTGTGAAGTTCGCAAATTTTGTATATATTTGCATTACGCGCGAGAAAAATAACCATTTTTGAGCCGAAAGTGGTTATTTTTACCGCGCGTAATACAAATATAGTACAAAATTTGCGAACTTCACAGGGCTACAATTTCTTCATTTTACAATATTTAGCAACCAAACTTTGCAGTTTTATTCGTTCTAAGATGCTCTTTCTAGCTGTGGTGTTGGATTTCGTTCTTCTAGCCTTGATCAAAATTTAGTCTTATAACTGATATGCATTCGAAATCTCCATCTACAAAACACAAGTAAATCACAATACCTCCGCTCCCCTTTGGACCACTGGGACAACGGCATTTCTCACCAGGAGGGGGTCTGGCAAACGGGGTCGCTGCTTCACCCTTAATGCCTTTCAAGCCAGCATACCCAGGATATCCTGGATCCCCGGTAGGACCCACTTCACCTTGTGGACCTGGAGGACACGGGCCTGTTTGGCCTGTTTCACCACTGAGACCAGGCGGGTTCCTCCACGCTGAACATCCTGTGTTGATGGTAAACATCAGAAAAAGCACCTGGAAGAAAACATGAAATTGGCCGTTTTTCGCTTTTCATTCAACATTTTTTGGATGACTCCACCTATAGACGAAATTTTGATCTAGATATGAAGAACGAAATCTGATTACCATACTGCTGGAAAGAGCATCTTAAAATGAGTAAAATTGGTCGCGAATTGTTGCGAAATGAGGAAAATATAGCCCTGTCAAGTTTGTAAATTTTGTATATATTTTTTGCATTTGGTTATTTTTACCGCGCGTAATACGAATATATCATAAAATTTGCGAACTTCACGTGGGCTATATTTTCTTCATTTTACAACATTTAGCAACCAAACTTTGCCTTTTTACTCATTCTAAGACGCTCTTTCTAGGCTATGGTGTTGGATTTCGCCACTAACTTTCCGACTAAGAAAGAGCCTTCGCTCGAAACGTCGAATTTCGCTTTGTATTTTTCAAGTAGTCGCCATTTTCAACCAACGAAGGCTTGATATTATTGAATCTTAATGCTTTCCCAACACAGCTATCATGCATTCTATGTTAATCTAGAGCTAGAAATGTCCCCCGTACTAAACAATGCCAACTCTCATGTTGTCAACATCTGACCCCAAACAATATTTACATACAAATACAATATGCATTAAAATATTGTGGTTTACTGCCACGCTTATGACCATTTTACCACCCACTTGTGAATTTTTACATACTTCATACATTTCACATACTCACTTCTAACGTTGATGGATGAACGCTATGTATGATATATATTGGCTGCGCAAATTCATAAATAAATATTTCATATGTAAGCGCGCCTATAGTTTATATTTGGATATATCATATGTTTTAATATGAAGAACTATTGACTTCATTAGCGCAGTGAGCTTGCTCGTTCAAAATAGCTCATTGAGACAAAACTTTGCGCATTTACATTTCAATCCTATTTCACCACAAAGTTTTTAGTCTAATGCCACACTGTAGCGCGGTTTCAAATTAGATTTTCATTGCGCTGTAGAGAACATACGCTCTCGAACTGAATGCTGTCAAACTCGCGGCTGTATAGACTCTCCCGTTAAATACGAACTTTCGAATCTAAAATAAACGTAATTTGTGATTGGTTTTCTAAACGACTCTTTCTCTAAAGAAAATATTTCTAGATTTGTTGTGATTCATTCATTGTTATATAGAATGAACCAATAAAATCTATTCATAGTTCATAGAGTTTCGTGTCGATCCGGCTCGCGATGCATAGAAAAATATCATACCTTATAAACCATCATCGTATCAGCTTTCTCGGGGTGTTATTACGTTTTAACGACAGTATTTAAGTGTATAAACTTGACCTCAGTAGTGTAAAATACAGCGAGGAAAAGCAGCAATCACTGTGAGATATCACTGAACAGTGGTGTAGTGTTTTCGACTCAGACACTACAGAAGAGTGATGACAGATCAGTTATAAAGGCGACTTTTTAATCTCCGATTTCATTTCCGTCGAATTACTCAGTAAAGATTTGAGATTCCTCAGGAGCCCAGCTACAATCTTTGCGACTTTGCCAGAAACTATGGGACAACTGCTGTAATTTTATATAATTTGAAAGGAATGGCGCCCCCCGTTCCCCCAGTTCAATGTTGGGCCGACAAAAATCTGATGTCTGGTCGCGAGACGCCAACATTGAAACGGGTGGGGGGGGGGGGAGGGACGGTGTAAAAAATGTATCCGGAAATGGTATATTACAACCGAATGCATGTGAAAACTAGATTGTCCCAGTCTATATTGTCAAAGATTCAGTATGTGACACTTCGCGAAGGCCAGGGGTCCCCCCCCAATCATTTCTGAATATACAGGGTGTATAAAAAAGACTTCAATGATCTGGTTTCTTGCACTTCACTTGGTGGTATTAATATTTGAATGCTGTTCTTAGGGTTTGTAATCCAAGTGAGTATATATATACATTTTAAGACCTGACCAGGAATAGCCTGCGAACAGGCTCTCAAGCTGAATTGAGAGCAAATTCAGCTTGAGAGCCTGTTCGCAGGCTAGACCAGGAACGACTGCGAAGACCTGACCACGAACGACTCACTTGGATTACAAACCCTAAGAACAGCATTCAAATATTAATACCACCAAGTGAAGTGCAAGCAACCAGATCATTGAAGTCCACCTTATCTCAACCCGCACACCCGATCACCTATATATACATGAACTTACGGTTACAGCTCAACAGCTGACCTCTGTAGCTCAATTGGTTAGAGCGCCGCACCGGAATCGCAGGGTCGTGGGTTCAATTCCTACCAGAGGACCTTGTGCTGCATTTTTCGCAGTCGTTCCTGGTCAGGTCTTAAAATGTATATATATACTCACTTGGATTACAAACCCTAAGAACAGCATTCAAATAAATGTATAGAAAAGAGACCTTTAGAAATTAACCTTATTGTTATAATTTGAGTGCTATAATCACTACGCTGAACACAAGAGTGTGAAAACACAATTGAATTGAATTTTTAATTACCAGGAGCAAAATATATTGTGCTTTTTTTTTATTTATTTATTTATTTTCCCATGTATAAAAATCTACTTAAAATATATTACAATAATTTGAAGATGTTGGGCTAGAGACCTACTAGAAATCTTCATAGACTTTTTATTTTAGGTCTCTAGTTACTGTTCGTTTTATCACATAATCGATTATTTACAGTCAATCAATACATAATATGTAAAATCAGAAAGTTTTGAAGTATATACACTATATTTACAAGAGAGAAAAAGAAGTGGGAATGTTCGTATTATATAAATTAATAGTAATGTTGTAGATGCATTTAATTTTACAATGACAATGTTGGGCTACAATAGACTAAAGTATATGTCATTATATACATTAGAGAAGTATGTTTTATATATTGGTAATTGTGTATAGCAAAAAATGTTGTTTAATTTTCTTTTTAAAGGTGTTATAGGAGTTTACTTCATTAAGTTTTGTTTCTAACGAATTCCATACATCAACTCCTTTATTTGAGAGAGTGTGTTTTACATAATTTGTTCTTTTATAACATTTGTGAAGTTTTGATGCATTTCTCGTGTTATGTTCATGAATTTGGTTGTTTGTTACAAAATAATTTTTAAAGAAATCTGGTAAATTCTGGCTTAACAACAACAATAGATTAATTTCTAAAGATCTACTTTTTATGATACACCCCATATATAACTGTGTAGCAAAGCAGTAACAATATGTCGAACATGAAAGCATTGTTAAGCCTGGCAGTACACTATCAAAGTTTCTGTGATCACAGTAGGAATTTTGCCTTGGTAAATTCTAAGTTTTGAAGGATTTGTAAGAAATGTTGATAGGGAATATTAAGCAGTTGCCTCAAACATTTCTTACAAATCCTTCAAATCTCAGAGTTTACCGATGCAAAATTCCTACTGTGATCACAGAAACTGTAATAGTGTAATGAACCATATACTAAAACTGTCTGTACCAGTGTGGATAGTATCATGGATATTAAAATAAATGGATAGGACTCTCGCTGACGTAAGCAAAAACAACCTAGTTGCAATCTGTGACGTCACGCGTATTGCAAAGTTCTCTGCATTTTTGTTGTTTCGCTATATTTTCCGCCTTAAAAGAGTAATATTGAAGCATAAACCGGTCTAATTGTTTTAAAAACATGCCTAAGCCACGACAAAGTATTCAAGGTAAATGTTTTTCGTCTTTGTTTTGTATTTTTTTACATTTGTAGCTACGAAATTGGCGTCGCCAATTTTAACGAAATTTGGGATGCATTTTTCACTGTTTAGTGCTTGAAATATTTGCTAAAATTGACTGGAAATACTTAGAGATTTCATCGTAGAATGGCATAGTTATATTTATTTGCTCTTTGACTAAAATGTTTAGCTGTATTATTGCTAAACATGCCGTTTTTGAGAATTTGGTTTGCAACTAGGTTTGAACATCCAACCACGCCATCAGTCCATTGAAAACATTAGGTCACGTCAGCTAGTTTCCTATCCATTTATTTTATTATCCATGGTATAATGAATATACATCTAAATAACATCGGTACTTGATTTAATGCTCGTAATGCAGAACATCAAGTTATATATTACGTAGATTCTCAAAGATTTTCTCAATATTGACGTCTGAAATGTTTATATATTTGAAAGCAACACTGCATCGCTCCTTCGTCGCATACTAGCATCGTCACGCCATCGTTGATCTGCGGCTTGACAGCGCATGCGCATTTACGCTGCCAAAGAAAAAATCGGGTGTTACGGGGTAAAAATCCTTTACACAACACGAGAAGCCGACGAGAAGCGAATGTTATAAAATTTGCAATAACGACAACGATTCCTCAAAATTTTTGTGAACTTGGCAGAAGGCCTAAAGAATATTTAAAGAAGACAACTGAAATTGCATCAATAACCTTCAAAGTACTGACTAAATACAATAAATCACTACGAACTGAATGACTGACTGATTCGTGTGAATTTCCCCACTCATCACAATAGTGTAAAGTGAAACTTTACACTAAAAAGCGTGGTCTTACTTTCAAACTGCAAATCAGTAATCACCTCAATTGCAAAATGATATCGCTTTAATAATTGGTAAAATTTCAGTTTTCTTAAAATATCTTTGTCTATAGATTTCAAGACTGGATGCCAAAGGTAGGACGAATAGACGGTCATAACAACGCATCACTTGTGATAAAATGTGTGCACGAAATGCAAGAAGAAAGTGTTATGAAATTAATTGCCTCCCATTGGGATGATGGCGAAGAAGTTTGTTTAGACCGTTTAAATATTGCGCCAGCGGAATCTACAGCTTTGGTCGAATTTCTAAGTTATATAAAGAACTTCCACAAGCTTAAGATGACTAATTGTATGATGGAGCATTTGGCTTTCCGTGAATTTACCAAGTTACTGACGAAAGAGAATGAAAACTGCCAACTAACTGAGTTACACCTAAATAAGAATAAATTAACAGATGAAGATGCTAAATCTTTGAGTAATGCTCTGATTAGTGACAAGTGCAACCTTACTGAATTAGATATAGGAGACAATAATTTAACAGATGAAGGTGCTGAACATTTAAGTGATGCTCTGATGAGTGACAAATGCAAACTTACTAAATTAAACATAAGTGTAAATCATTTAACAGATGAAGGTGCTGAACATTTACGTAATGCTATGATGAGTGACAAGTGCAGACTTACTGAATTAAATATAGGAGGCAATAATTTAAGAGATGAAGGTGCTAAATGTTTGAGTATCGCCCTGATGAGTGACAAGTGCAAACTTACTGGATTGGATATAGGAAGGAATCATTTAACAGATGAAGCTGCTGAACATTTACG